CACCTGGAAAGTAGTGTCTTTCCATCTCTTTCCAAACATCCGGACGGGCCAAATGGCGTTGCTTCCAAATTGGAGTCAAACCAACCGGATGCAAAACATCCGAAAAACATAAAAACAAAACACATGTCTTGCCGGTCGAAAAACGGGTGACAGGACATTGTGCGGTCTTTCATGATTCACTCCCGGACAAGGTCCCATGGGTTGACCATGGTTGACGACCCGTGTCGACTTGGGCACGTTTGACCCGTAGTGAGACCCTCCGCAACTTACAACAACCTCTCACGTACCCGACCGAACGTACCTGAATTGAACCCGACTTTCAGCTCGCACGACTCCCTTCGACGTCGACTTCTTTCGCGAGGAAGGAGCGTTTCTTTGGCGAGGTCTTTCTTTGGCGTTTCCCCAATAAAGGACCCAACAAAGGGTGCCTATCAACCTCTCATGATGACCAGCCCATCGTGGGCAGAGACCGATGTGGCTGGTCGTTGGCGCCCGCTCGGGTGGCCTCAGACGGTTTGATCTGGAGCAGCCTGTCTGCAGCTCTCCTGGCCTCTCGGCCCCCCCCCAAAGCTGAGCAAGTTCGAATCAAAGGGCACAGCAACTCGAGATCTCCAGTCTCCGATAGCTTTGAGATCAGTCCAGTAATCTTAACGATCTCTCCCCTCTCCTCCATGTATACAGTGCACTCGAGATTCCTTGGTGAAACCGTGGCACAAGGACCAAACATGTCTCAAAAAGAAGAAGTGAACAAGTGGATCGTCTCGATCTGCCTGCGCCTTGGCCAAGGTTCTTGAGAAAAGGATCGATCCACCAGAACTTGAGCACCATCAATACTTTGAACCTCAATGTGTTGTCCGTCCATCGTCCATACGGATCGGGATGTGTGGATGTGTTTTAGTTTTTTCCCCTGGAATCCGACCATAAAATCTCTTTATATAGGGTTGAAAGGGAGGTTATTCCTCTATTTCTGGGCGTATTTGTGAGCGTAAAAGCAAAACATAGAGTAAAAGACATGTAAAACACAATAACATTGCCAGCTGCCTAATTACACATCTACCAATTTGTGACCGTCCAGAAGCTCTTCTTTCTCATCATCGATCGATTTGATCTCGTGAGGATTGATCTCCACGAAGACTTTGATGGCGTGTCTACAATCCACCAGCCTCCTCGAGCGAGCACAAACAACAAAGAAAGGAAGAAACACACCTAGCGCATCCAATGGGTGTCCAATGGACTACCCCATACTGCTTAGTGCATTGGGGATAGATAAAACTCTTTCAAATCACCACTCAGAAAAATCATTTCTCTCATCCCCCTCCCTTCTCGTCTCCTCTTCTGTGTCGTGCTGTATTGGTAGTACTCTCTCAGGACGGAGCTGTTCCTCGTGGCCCAACGGACGGCGACACACTTCGAAAATCACTTCCCCTAGGGCTCCAACTACTTCCCCTAGGGGCCTAGGGCTGGGGTAGCCTGGGCCGTGTGGTCTCCCACATCACCTTCGTTCTTCCAAACCGTGGCCTTCCGGCCGGGCCATCCACTCCCCGACAGGTCCAGTCAAAGCAGTCCCACCATGACTCGAGTCTCTAGACTGATACCCAGACACGACTAATGGGACTGGAATAGACCTATCATTGACCCCCAGTCAAGCACTTTTGGCCGTTTCTCGGCAGTCCTATGCCAGTCCCAGACAGGTCGTGTCTGGGATAGAGGGATGACCTCTGACTCATGAGCGCTCATGAGTTCATTGGATCGAAAGGCCAAGGGGTGCAGAACTTCTGGTCTTCGAGTGGACGCCTATCTGAACCCCACGGTCGACCGAGTGGATTCTTCCGAGACGCCGAATGAAAAGCCGATGGGAGGACTCAGGCAGCCAAAAAGGCATGCCCTTAGACCCTTAGACGGCATGCTTGGAAGGAATGCTTGGCTGTTCAGTCCGAAACGGGTCAAAGATCATTCCCGAATGTTCCATATTGCTAAACTCTGCACCATTTGACATCTGAGCCATGTTTAGTGGCAATTCTGAATATTCAAATCCCAAAAGGAATTCCACATGAACTAAACTCTACCATATTCTGATCCCGGGTCCCATCTGCGACGGACGGTGAGCCGGGCCCATTCAACGCACCGCGGGTCCCATCCTGCGCTGGATTCGTCCGAGCATCTCATAGCCCGGTGGTCTCAATTCCAAATATCGATATCCCTCGGTCGAGAACGTCGAACGGAATGGGCAACGTCTTCATTTCGTCCGGGAGAAGTCTTCGTGTTCTCCGGTTCTCCGGGAGAAGTTCGTTGGGAGCAGTTCATCATTCGATGCCATTCGATGCCCTAAAACCATCATAGAACCTATTCTCGCCTGCCTGTGACCTCGACTTCGACTCGATCGACTCGGTCACCGTCGATCGACTCGTTGACCGACCCATCGAGTTGCCACGTGAGAGGCCAGGTTGCCATGAGAGGCTGCAGCTGTGGAGCGAGGCCCACCACCTCGCGGCAGCTGCAGGGCTTGTCCTTGTCCTGGCAAAGAACAGCTAGCTCTCATTATGTCCTGATGAAGAAATAATCCCGAGTACCTATTTAAAAACGGACCCCAATTAAAAAAAAGTCATGTCCGAACCCCTAAATTCGGTTTACATTTGGTTTTAAATTGCCGCCCTTTCAAGCCGCTACTAAACTACCAACATGGTCGATTTTGGGGGTAGTTTTTTTTATTAGGTTCCCCAAAACTCCACCATGACACGCCGCGCTTACACCAGCAGGCTTTCCTTCCCTCAATGGCACGGACTCACGCAAACGCACTTGCCACCGAGGTCATGCAACACCGCATGGCACAGCGACATCACCTTTCGAAAGCTTTAGCTGTTAGTCTACTGAAGAATCACTATTCTAATGAAGGTTTTTGTAGGGGAAAAGGAAGACCCTTCGATCTGGCGGTTTTTTGCATTTTTGATACGAGTTTAATAAAGGATTTTATATAAAATTTTCCTGGATTACTTTTTGGTTTTGAAACTCTTTCCAAGTGACACTATTTTGCCCCCCCCCCCCGATTTCAGGGACCCCCTATTAGAAAAAATGCGACCGAGGTTTTTTTAATGGGGGGGGGGGCCGTGTTTATTATTAGGGGGACGGGATTAGTTGAAACCCCAAAAAGCAAACCTCATGAACATCTGGAACAAAAAAGGGGAGGCAACAGGAAAATAAAACACAATTGTATTCTATTCATTACTATTCAGCTTGACATTTCTAGTAGCTATTGGCTCAATATATTGTACAACCGTGAACCAATATATTTGGTTCGTCACCATGTCATGTTTCTTGAATCTTCTCTAAACATTAAGCACTTCAACAGCTTTGCACGTCTTTTCGGTGACTACCGTGGGAAGAATCGGAGATTGGAGGTTTGGGCATCCGAAACTGCATGAACCTGCCATGAGAGGCTCGGCCGCGGTGGAGACTGGATCCCGCCAGTCTTAAACATGCCAAGGATCTGACAACGGAAGGCACCATGGATCCGCACCCATGGCAGCGGAAAAATGGGCAGGCGTTGCTGCCAGTACTACCCAGTACCCAGTTGCTGGTGGCGATTGGATGGTCAACACTATGGATTTTCCGGGTCTATCAGTGCTGCTGCATTCTTTCGGCGGTCGCACTGGTGTGGGTTCTCTCGCGAACGGGGTCCGGACCGGAGGAATCGACGCAAACTGCTGTGGCTATCTGGAGAATATCTTCTCTCTTGAACCCGAACGCTTGCTGTTCTCCCAAACTGGTCTACGCTGAGTGGAAAAATGGCTGAACACGATCTGTCTGCGTTGCCCAGCCGTTGCCAAAGCGAACACAGCTTGATGCATGCTCAAGGGCTTAGTTGTCATAGCTCAAAGGCCAGTAAAATAAAAGGTTAACCTGCATGGGTTGAAGTCTACGATCCTAGGGGCAGAACAAGAAAGTCTTGGGCCCCATGACAGGTACATTCTGCACCACCCCAGTCCAAACAAAGTTATGCCGTTACCTGCTGTCCAAACCTGTGGCTGTCTAGAGGTAGCCGCTGTCCCGCAGGGACAGATGCTGACCCCGTCAACGTCACCAACCGTACGTACCTTCCGGGTACGATACGTGATCTTTTGCCAAAGCAAGGCCTAGTTATAAAGCTTCAACATATATTGGCTCGAAGTTAATCACATATATATATATCAGTATAATATACTGTATTGGTAACCATTGGTTTAATCTATATAGTAAATTCATGTAAATCAAGTATAGCATTCGCTGAGTCGAGCCACTAGAGTAAACCCCAATGTATTTTAAGTCCTGGCACGACACACCTTCTATGCCAGTGTTTCTCCCGCTACTTGACAGGATTCGAAGCAATTGAGAAGAAACAATGTCACCCAGATTGGCATTCAACATGAACTGCATATGAACCATGGCTCATATAGAAATCTATGTATTGCCTTCTTTGAAGTACAAACAACATCGCACTCTGATTCCATGACAAAGGACAATCGTTCAGTATCTGCGAGCGTTGAGCACGAAACAACACACACAAACAGAGTCACCCAATGTGCACATGATTTCAATGAAATGGCTTTTCACACATTTCTTGATTGTCAACTCAAACGCATCTCTTTTTTCTCCATCCAGCTTTGGGATATTCAGGCCCACAATCAATGTGACATTTCTCGCCGAAGCTCCAGGATTCCCAAGTTTCCCAGCTTCAGGTTTCGATGGTTTCGACAGAAACCAGTGAAAGCAAAAGCAAATCATCCATGATGCAAGGCAGGAATGGTTACAGCTGTAGCCAAACGTTTGTGCTTGTGCTTGCCATCGTTTCCAATACCAGAAGGAGCATGGTCTTATCTGTCAAGTTGCATCTCTCAATATTCCAGACCCATTCTCTGCAGAAAAAGTTCACGGCAATCCGATTTGCAAGCAAACACCAGCTTCTTCCCGCGGGTATTGCCTGCGTGATCCCCATGGGCGCGGGTGGTGCGCCGGAACTCACCCTCTCAACACGGTGCTTCAGGTGACCATCCGCAAGGGATCCTCAACTCCCTGCGCGTCATCGAGCCACACCTCGGCAGATTCCACCGTGTTTTCGTGTTTCGGTCGCATAGCTTGGAGCTTGCTTGGGGAGCCAAGGAGTCCAGGAGCCGGACATGAAAAGACTCCTCGGTTTCAGGGTTTCACCATGGTGAAACCCCATGGTTCAACCACTAAGAATGACCCTCATCAAAACCTGGCAAGGGTTGATCAGCTGAAGAGGTCGAAAGACCGGTGAAAGCACACAACAGCCGTGTAACATCTAGGCAACATCGCCTTCTCAAGTGCATCAGGAAGAAACATTCTCTTTATGGCAAACTTTTTAGCATCGCCGCGCGCACAACGCAACGCGTGCCCGAGATCACGCAACGCGTTTTTGGGGAGGGGTTTGCGAATTTAGACTTCCATTGGAGATGACACGAAGCATGTGGTGAGCATGTCTCAAAGTACCAATCACAAATGCTCCATGAACCTGGCGGATTTATCCATCATTTCATTGCGTGGTTGTTTCAGAGTCGATGGATTCCATTCATCGTGCTGGGGTATCAAATGCCCACAGGGTTCCAAGGCCTGCCACCGGCCCCAGCTCGCCCGACGAACAGCGGCTCGGCTCGCGAGCTGAATTTCGGCTCCGGCACTTCTGAAAAATGCCCCATAAGGTCCTGTAGATGCTGTGACCTAAGTCGATTGCGAGGTTCGGCCAAGATCAGGCAAGCTTCAAAGTTCTGAAAAAACATGACCCAGAAAGGGCTTTCAGATGCTTTCATCGGCAGATTGGGGTTTTGCAGGCTTTGCAAAGCAAGACAGACCGTTTTTTCGGTAAATATTGGGAAAAAACAGGTTGGTTGTGAGGGCTTATGAACATTCGCTTCTCTGGTCATCCCAAACACTTTGGACCTGAAGGTTCAGTTAGAAGATCATCCCGTCAATGGCTGATGGAGCTGCCGAGGCATCACTGGGAGCCCCAGCACGTCAAAGCCTGGGCGCAAGGAATCTCGGAGTCTCACCCTTGAAAGTCTTACGTATGTTCAGGGTTCGTCACCAAGGATTCCAAACATTTCCAGACGGAGAAGTTGGTTTATTTTGAGGTATGTTCTGACCACGGAAGGATGTCCAAGCTGTATAAAGATCTAGATGCACTATGACCACTTCGTGGCCGCTTCTATGACCACCTCTTTTTCTGTTGCTTTGTTGGGAGAGGTAGCTGCGCCGGCCGGTGTGAGGTGCGGGCGCGGCCGTCGCAGGGAGCATTGAGAGTGTTCCCAATCTGCACATCGATCTTCCTGGAGCGGCGACGTGGGGCGTTCGGCACACCAGGAGGTTGAGGAGGTTGAGGGCCGGGGGGAGGCCTGGGGGGTGTCCCGGAACAGGTTCGGGGAATCTGGCTGGAAGAAATTGAAGAAGACCGTTGTAATTTGATGTCGCGAAAAGCACCACCCTAACAAGTTCTTTGCAAAAGAGGTACAGGGGATCACAAACCAGCTATCCACTTTCGGCACTAACTTGAGCGCACACTTCTCTAAGTCTATACCTGATAAGCTCCACTCAGCCTTGTCAAAATGGGCAGTTCCGTCTGGACCATCTCTCCGACGAGTCTCACAAGCTTTGCATCAGAACCTTTGATCAAATAAATTGATCAAAGTTATCCGGTGAAGGAAGATCTTCGAGAGAAAGCACCTGAAAAGGGTGTGTGGTGGTTGGGCACTAAAACACAAAACACAACACCCCCCCCCAAAAAAAGTGGAATGTCTCAGGGCTTTTCCCAGAAATCATCTCTACTCCCTTAGGCATCACCACATCCGGAACACCCCTTCTTCACCACTGATCCGTCCTCCTCCGTCCCCTCACCCGAGCCCAACTCCGCTCGACTCCGCTCGGCTCGGCTCGAACCAATCCGCCACGCGGCACGCGCCGAGGCACGAGATCACGTCGTTGTTGGGTTCCACCGTCAGCGTGGCCAACTCGTTGCCCAGCTCGCTGATGCCTCGTTCGCCCAGCTCGGTGGTCTCGAGACCCGAAGGGCGTGGTCGAAGCCGAAGAAAGCCGAGGCTCGAACGATCCAAGTCGAAGAGCCGAATGTGGCTACCGCTTGACGGAACAGTGGAGATGAAAGATTTGTGTAACAAAGGGTCAACGGTTAACTTGGAGGGTCTATAGTGTCTATACTGTTACTTCGGAAGAAACCATGAGCAATTGCTGAGGTCACAGGGACGTCGTCTATTGGAGATTCCACACCGAGTTTTGTTGCAAAAATTACTTGGATACACTCCATACCCTAGGGCTCCAAGTACCTCCTCAGAAGGTATCTGGACCCTCTGAAACCACCCCAGTCCCACCTTCGAAATGCAGCTACGACTGGAGCCCTAGGGATAAGCATTCGGTGAACAAACACACCATGTTGGAGGACGGAATCCGTTGCGTCCGTCCCTCGGTGGGAGACTCTGATGACTGATGACCCAGCTGGTCGCACCATCGTCAGAAGTCACGTGAGTCCATTTTTCTTTCTGGAGAAGTAAGTACATGGTCTCAACTTATCTCAACTTCTCAGAAGTTGGGCAATCTCCACTGTCATGAACTTCTGAAAACAATTAACACTTAAAACAACACACACACACACACAAAAACAAAAAACACACACAAACACAACACTTTCCCTCTGAACCACAAGGTCATTTCGCGCGGCCGTGCGGGTGAAGCCTGATGGGAAGAGCACCCGTGCTGCATGCTCAACACCTGGCAGAAGAAACGGATGAAGGCCACCCAAACTTTGTGGGGGCCCTGGCCCTTAAGCACCTGTTCCAGAAAGTTCCTCCTATTCCTTGACATTCAAGATTCTAGGCTGACTTAGGACCAGAATCCACACACCAGACTTCTGTCCTTCTTTCAGCATCTGAAGAGCTCCAAAGCTACTATCCTAAGTCCCAGCCCTCCCATTCGGATCCAAATCTTTGAATCCCTCCGCCACCAAAATCTTGGCCCAAATCCTTCAGATCCTTGATTTCCAACTCATGTGACCAATGTGACCTGAGGTGAGAACTCAGCTGACTCAGCTCGCTTCATCCCATTCGTTGAGCCCTACCCCGCCCGTGCATGCCATACCTGGAGCCGCAAAGGCGACCGTCAAAGGTTTGATTCTCCTAGGCGCCCCGCAGCGAAATGCGCTCAACTGTCAGCACGATGCCAAAGAATGTGTGAGGTCTAGCTACATCTTAGGCAGGACATCTTGAGCCAACAAATTCAAATCCTACCAAATTCCGCCAATTCAGGAGCCATACCTGAAAACATTAGCCATGCCATATTAGCATATGAGCCATATGATTGGCATGGCCTGGCCGGCAGGGCCCTGTGGCCCGATCGCCGAAGACGCCGAAAGACGCCCGAACTGGTTTTCCCCGATGACCCGCCAGCCGTTCCCCCCGGTTCACCATGAGCAGTGTTGGTTCGTCCGCGCTCCAGGAGTCACAGAGCCTCTGGTGCCGAACGAACGGAGGAAGGAGGTGCCCGGTGCCCCGAACCGCACATCCAGGAGCCCTGGATGGGACGAGCCACACCAGCCAACTCCATGTGACCCCTGGCTTGCTCACATTTGGATGCAAATCCCAGACACGACGAGTCTGGGACTGCCATACAAATGCCGATCAGGCCAGGGGTGGTGCCAGGGGGGTTAATGGGGCGACATATATGGTAGTCCCATGGAGTGTCTGGGAATGAATGGTTTGAACATCTTAGCATCACTAGCACCATCAATCCCACCAGGCACACGCAAGTTCGGTTCCCTGACAATTCAATTCTCGCTCACGCCAACCGCAGGACTGTCCACACGTGCTCCCAGGGCACGTCTTCAATTGCAACTCCTGGCGTGGTGACCGGTGGTTGATTCTACGCCTACGCTGGACCATAGAAACAAAGATGAGGCAGTGAGCATGCTCCTTTTTGCGATCTCTGCGCCTTTTTCGATTCCGGGCAGTGACTAAACAACCTCCACCTGGCAGATCCAAAGATCCTGGCAGGAACAACCTCTTGTGTCACCTTGCTCCTTTTCTTTATGCCAAAGATCCTGTTCCCCCCCAGGCCCCAAACAACCTCCACCCATGGCGGCACATTAAAAGCGGCCCCATCACCGCGCCACAAGCTTGGCGATGCCGCCGCCCAGGGAGTGTCCGGTGAGGTAGTAGAGCCTCCCGCGGGGTGGAGCTCAAAAGAAACGTAGCATAAGTGGTGTGGGATGGACAAGTCTAGAGACAGTTCTCCAACACCACCTTGCCACTTTGCTTTCTATTTCTGGAAGATGCTCCTGGAGCCCTGGATTGGAGTCCGCTTCTCAGAATTGGTTTCATTACATCGACTTTACATCTTTTGCATAGTTCCACAGCCTGACCTTCCATGCGATTCGCAACCTTTGGGACCCAACACAATGCTCACATCCATGAAGGAACTCCCAGTGCCATAGTCCCTCCAACTGACAGGACCAATCAAGAGTGTCCTCACCTCTGTGATTTCTATGGATCCTTGCAATCAACGAAGCTCTCAGCCGTCGTCTTAACATTCTTTTTGTGGGGGTTTGCAGTGGGTGTTTCAAGGGTCATATGATCTTCGATGCCTAGGTTCATTGGAGGCACCCTTTGCTACACACAGGTGTGAAAATCAAAAACCCGAGGGTACTAGTTATGCAATACTGATTGAATTGATGCACACCTGTTCTTCGCAAAACAAATTACTAGAGTATTTTTTGAATGTTTGTTATTATTGAAACTTGATGCAACTTCTATCTGACAAGTGTGGTATCATGGTCGACTGGGCAACCTCAGCAAGAAATGGCCTATTGGGGTAGTGCTCCAGCATGTACTCGACCGCCAGAAAGACTGAGTCGTACGTGGTCTGCTTTCGGATCGGCGCCCTGAGTGAGGCCCACCGATCACAAGAAGAGCCACCATAAATTAGTCATGTCTGTGCCTTAAAAACCGACCAATTTTGAATGTTGGACTCGGCCTTGACTTTCATTCACTTTGAAAGACGAACAACCGAACAATTATGGCAAGAAAAAACATACCTCGTGGACAATCTTCTACCACGAGTCTCGGGTTCACATACCCTCAAACCGGGTCCGACTTGCCCCCCATTCAATTCTACGATTCGCCCTTTCTTGTTACCAACTCATCGGCGAAACAAATATATCAACGTGAGGCAAATGTGGCAACTGAACATTGCCCGCGAAAACCGTTGACGAAGAAATCCAAACAATCCCAACACAGGGCATCATGGCCAAGGTGAAGACTTTCGCAGTCAAGGGGCAAAGGGATCAGCTGTGAAAGCCTGGCGGCACTCTGTATGAATGTTTGGACACGAAAGGTCTTGAGATTCTGAGCCTTTTCACAAAAATTATTGCCGCGATGTGAAGGATTGCGCAGTCTTTTTGGAATCCCTGCGTGATTCTTTTTCAAGGTTAAGCATCCATGCCCTCAATCGCTGCAACACAACTTTCCTTCATGGCATAATTAAATGCGAGAGAAAGGATAGCAAGTGCACACTAAAGCCTCCACATTGCCAAACAACGGGTCTTTGAGGATGTTGCTCCTGCTACTTGCCGTTGACAACTCCATGTTGAGTGAACAGCACCTGCTGTCTGAGCCCACCAACTACTTTCAGCACGTTAAGAGGCGTTCTAGGCCTTGAGCATGAGAACTGCCACCAAAACGCACAAAACCAAACTATCAAAGCATTACCGCACTTCTCACTGAGTACAGTTGCTGCGGAATTGAGTCGTCTTTATGAGAAGTTGGCCGTCGCACGCTGGCAAGCTCCTTACAGCTGCTAGCTGGCCCTTCGCCCTTCGCAGAACGAGGGCAAACATGCAGCTGAATGAGGTGAGAATTCACTACACTGGCTTCCTAACAATGTTTGGATGTGGGCAGCGATGCAGGCGGACATGTGCCATCAGTTTATCCAGAGGCGCGAAGATGGTTGTTTACGAAAAAGCACATGTAGATGAAAGATGGCAACATTTGTAGCATGCCGCTGTAGAAGAGTCACGAGGTCGAAATAAGGAAGCAACGACTCAAGTTGATTCAATGACTCAATGAGGTGTGTTGCGCAGCTCTGGTGGCCTTCTACAACAAGTGTCAATATCAAATGAAAAATGCAGTGGATCAGGAACACGTGATAAAATAGGGCTTCAGCAAAAGGTTCTTTGGGGATATTTGAGGAGAAGACCAACAAATACATCAAATCGGCGGTCAAATTGGGCTAGAGTATGACTAGATTCCCTTCAGTTACCACTTTTCTCACCGGGAGTCATTACTATGACCATTGCGTTTTGATCATTCTCGAACTGGCAAGGATTGTTTGGACATTTTGGAACTGGTTGAATCGCTTCGTACTAATTTGGAGCTCTTCTAGTCCTCTCCCACATCAGGGGGCATGCAGTGCATCCCAAAAGTTAGGATCTTCACGTTTAGGGCGTCCACAGAATCTCACAGAATCCAAACCTTCTATGAATCCGCGTCCCTAGCTGTGAGGAAGACGAAGACCATCTACACCACGAAGACATAGCTCCATACTGGACGGTTGATACTAAGTAAATGCCTGTCGTGCTTTCGACGTCCGAGCGAAGCGACATGCGCTGAAAGGTCTGGAGTCCGGAGCGTCGGGGCCAACTGATATCGATCATCGATCCTCGATCGTCCGTTGTGTGGGGAAGCGCATTGCTTTGGTGGCGCCACATATAGCATCATATAGCCCCTCTTTCTTGCTCTAACCAACGCGCTGTGCAAAAAAAGAACACACACACGCTTCCGTGCTTCCCCGCCGCGCCACCGCGGGCGCCGGTTGGGGCGTTGGCTTTGCATCGTTCGGCGGCGGCACCTCGACATGGAGATGCCCCAAGAACCATCTGCGACATCCGGGCCAATGTAGTTGAATAACCTGGGCTCTTCCGCCGCGACATCGCGAGATGGTCTCGCCTATAGGGGCCCTCGTGGTGGTGACGAGCCTTCTCCGCCAGGAGAAGGTATATAGTTGATGTTGCCTTCTGAAGAACACTTATGACGTTTCGAGAATCTTCACTGATCGTGTGGAATGTCAGAAGGTGCTTCAACTTCGTGGCAAGAACCTTTGCTTCAACACACACGCACACAACAGCAATGTATCTTTCAGACGTTCCTCTTGCTTCCTGACTGTGACTGACTGTGACACTGTGAGTCACCCAAATCACCCTACACACGGATCCCCTCAATTCTGTCGGGGGAACTCATCCCGGAAATTCCAAAGGTTATAGATATGGTATGATATGGTTATAGCATGTTATAGCTAGCATCCTGAGCATCTGTCAATATAATTCGCATCTAAAAAAGCTCTCATAGCAAGGCTTCCTGGATCCTCCCACAACCCGAACCACAAAAAGACCACTCTCCCTCCGAACCAATTTCGTTACGCGTCACCTTCACACCTCCTCCAGGTGTGACCCTCCTCAAAAAACGGAGAACGAAATAACTTTTGCGCCTCCCAAAACACCCGGTGTCCAACAGAGGTTAAGTGACCTGTCTAAAAAGGTTCCGTAACCTGGGGTACCTATAGTCTAGTGTGGGTTCTGACCCACCTCTGCTGGAACCCCCCCCGATTTGTTCGACGCTCAGCTCGACGCCGGTTCCTTCGACGCCCAGTCCCGGCCGCTGCAGCACCGCTGGCACCAACCAGAGGGTCACGTCATGCAACACGTCTAAGGCGGTCAACGTGCCCCGCACCGCAATCACGGTGGTGCCTCGGGAGAAAGAGACGGGTGGGACTACCGGTGGAATATATATGTGTATTTCAATAGAACCAGGAGTGACACTGGTTAGTTGGTTGATGTTGATTGGTTTGGTTTGGGTTGGGTTGGGTTGGTGTGAACTCGGACACCGGGACCAAGGCACCGTGGACGACTGGGACCCAACACGAACAACGGCCGCGAGCCGCAGTGCGGCATGCGACGGCCGACCCCAATGACCCGGTCTGGAAGACGAAAAAAGAACCACTGGGAACCAAATGTGGATCGAGATGCCAACCAAAAGGTTGAACAGCCCAGGGCCCAGCTAGCTGCTTGCCGAATCCTAGGTCAAGGTGTCAACCACTCACGACAGGGTCCTTTGGAAGGTCTCTCAATGTCTTCTAAGATGATTTATGAATGTTGGATGAACGATGATGAACGGATACATTTTGGACTCTGTCGGAGAGTAATTACTCCGGTTGTGCTTTCAGTTGGCGAGTTGGTCAGCCAAGTGTAGCCCTGAGTCAAACCATTAGTGTCTGTTAGCTTGTTATAAGATGTTATAAGTAGTCCAAAGGTAACTAGGCTCAGTACCTCAGCAGTGTCCAGTCTTGTCCGTGTCCAAACCCAAACACCTGAATTCTACATGGAATACATGTCTTCCCCCACCCAAAAAAACCGCTGCTTCGATGTAACTCTTCCCATACATACCTGCACCATCCGACCATCGGGATGCCCTGTCTGGTAGCCTAGTGGGGTAGTGGGGTAGCCCAGCTAGGACACCCCGATGGTCGGGATGGTGGTGCGAACGGGTATAGCCCGAACGGGCAACCCGAGCCGGATCGACCGACCTCTCGGTGCGAGAGATCCGGACCTCCCCGGTGTTCATCACCACTGCGGCATCTGAACACCACGCGTGCCCACGCGGTCTCAGTGGCTGTTGGTGTCTGAGGTGAACATCACGAAGCGAACCCAGTCCTCATCCAGGACGCCTCGAAGACAGGGGCCGTGAGACGTGTTTTGTCGTTTCTGGGCTGATGTGGTCGTGTTTGATGTTTTTGGTTTTGTCCTATATGAAAGGATGGATGAAAGGATCGACACCCCCCAAAGATCTTCGGCGTGTTTTTTTTCATACGTATAAGTGCTGGAGCTTCTTGAAGTCTTGCAACATATACCGTAACTGTGACAAAACTATCGTACTATAGGAAAACGTTTCTTGGGATGTCGATGATGGCCTTCTCGGATGTCGTCGAACTTCTATGATCTTTTCAGCCATGTGTGCTTTCAATCCAACTAGGTTCATGTCCCTTTGACGTTGCAACATCTCTAAGGCATGCTGAATGTGGAAAAAATTGGTAGCGTTGGGGCACTTGACGACCAAATGTATGTAGTCAATGGAAAACAACTTTTCTTGAGCCCTCCAAAATAATCCACCAACACCCATCCATGGCGCTCGGTGGTCGTGGCTCCATGTGCCACTCGGGGAAGTAATGAGCGCAGCCCTCCGCCACGCGGTTCTGAGGCCTCTGCCGTGGACGAACGCGGCGCGTTGCAAAAACGCGGAGGTGACAGTGGATGACTGAGCTGTGAGGGATGAATTCTTCACAAGACAAAGAGTTGATAGATAGATAAGACAAATCTATATGGATAAATCCCAAGGAGTTTGTGTTTTCTGACCCAAGTGTTCATGTCTTTCCTGCTTGACCGAAAACAGGAAAGTACACCATCTCACTATATGTCGTGACTGTCTTCTCTTCTAAGCTGCTCGTAGGTCAAAGACGCCATCAGTCCAAAGTCCTGGGCCGTCTGGGGCGTTTCAAGGCGCAGTCGAAGGCAGGAAAGCGCCTTACACCGGCGGTGAAGGACACTTCTTCGTGCAAAGAAAAGGTCTCAAGCATCGAACTTTAAAAACTATCCCGGCAAGAGGCCCCAAAGAGTGTGCTAGAGGTGTAGAAACAGAAGGGCTAGAAACCTACACGTATTATGACGTATTGGGTTCGAAACAAAGGTGATGGTGGTGGTGGTGATGGTGATGGTGTTGGTGGTGGTGATGGAGAAAAGACCCTCCCTCCCTGCTGAGGAGGAAAGACCACAGGCGCAGAAACTCCTTTTTCAACCGATGATGAGAGGCGGGGCAGCGAGCCCGAGGAGCTGCCACGTGCGCCGCAGGCGGTCCATGCGCACCAGTAGGCGGCACGCTGTCCTGTCCTGCCTTAAAGCCTTAAAGTCTAGTCTTGTCTTGTCTCTTTATCATTGCCTTTCTTTTCTTTACAGCACTGCATAACTTATGCCACACAGAACCGAAACGAACCGTGAACCGAACCAAAAGTCCTTGAACAAATACTTCTACAACCAAACCGAACCGATTCGAAGTTTCAATGAAACATTCAAACCGATTCCAACCGAACCGAAACCTTAGTGGATTTGGCTTCGCATGCCTTCGCGCATGCACAAGACTGTGAGAGTCGCCTTCGCGGGCTGTGATGCAGTTCCACTTTTATACAGACCTTTACATGTCAATTAAACAAGCATTGCTGAAGCGGAAACAGCTGACACATGCAGCGTCGACGCTCAACATTCGCTCAAGAAAGGGCTTCTGGATGTGTTCGAAACATATGGTTTGTGGTCACCGCTTGGTGGGTTGGGCGGAATGCCATGTTTCTTCTTCCTCAACTACAACGAAACGATGTGATGCTGAGCTGTTAGTGTGGGTCACTGTGGTGTGTTGGGCTGTGTTGTTGCTGTATATGGAACAAAAAGAAGCCCCGATGTATCCATGCAATCAAGTCACAGCATGTGGCACGCAAATAGACACACAGCATCGAACTCGGTTTACGGCTGCCTGTCACCAAGGTGGGCGCTGGCCTGGTAAGCAAGATGATGTGCCGCTGAGCGGTCGTGGGCCACTGTGATTCCAGTAGCACACTTGCTACTGTGGCAGGTGTCTGGTCAAAACCCAATGCCTTTCTTGGGCTTCTGTTTGTCACCAAAACTGCTCTCTGCTCACGCTATGTGGGCATATGCGGCATATGGAACATACTTAAGGAACTGCAGCCAGGTCACATGACAGTCCGACGTCTGAATACAAGCTTCTTTGGTGACTTCCCCGAAGCCTAGTTTGATGCAAACAACAATGCATCTGCGCAGTAGAATCACATGCCAAGAGTAACAAACAGCTTCCAACAAGCGCGACTGGAATAGGAATGGACTGGACTCAGCCGTCGAGAAACAAACACGTGCGTGTTGCTCCCCACAAGAACTACATGCATCAATGAATCGATGTCTTTTGTGTGAGTGCGAAGAACAGAGGCCACATACCACAGCAGTCCCATCTCATGGTCCCTACAGAAAAGGTTCGCCTCCTTTGGAGACTTCGGAGAGGAACCTCGGGGCGCAGTGGTCTTGTTTCTGAAACAAACCTGTGAGTATTGCTCTCCTACAAAATCTGATGTGAATCAGTGTCTGTTGTGCGTGTGAAGATTAAGAGAGTCCTGCCACTTTCGCCGACAGTATTCCGGCTATTGTTGCGGGACATCTCAGATCGAGCCCCATGGTCCCGACAAACATCATCAGCAAAGTAGAGAGGGCAGAGCCCTCGAGTCTTTTGTGTGCGTCACAACGAGAGCGCAGTCGAGAAGAGCACCCATTCGCACCCACCAGATTCTGCGAGCCTGCGCAGTCGAAATGCACTTCGAAGATCTCGAGGTGATTGAACGTACTGTAGGCGAATTAGCCGCACACGCCAACGCACCGCTACGATCAAACCCCTGCCTTAACACCTACTGTAAGAACCCCTAGTGTTATCACACTGTTTGGATAAAAAAATAACAACCCAAAAGCTAAGAAGAAATCGGGCAGAAATCAGAGCTTTCTGTTTTCTCATCCACACCTCGAAGATGGTCGACAGTGTAGCAAGATCCCCAGACACCAAAAGCTCCCAATGAGTGCGGGTCAAAGTGCAGGTCATTTGATCCAACTACCATGCACTAGCTCTCCACCGACCCTCCTGCTGCGACCCTCCAAATCCTCTGAACGACAAGGATCTCAAAGCAAAAACAATCAGACCATCGCAACGGACAGAATAGTTAATTAAGACTTTATGACTGCGGGCCTGCAGGCATTTCTTCGATAAGATTCTATAAGTCTATAAGTTTCAATGGGGTTGCACGCCTGAAGCATCTATACCTTCTGGTATCTTCTCGTATCCCTTGAATGGCCCGCCACCGGTCCCACTTTGGCTGTGCCAAGCAGCCGCCAAGCTGAGGGAATGGTTGAAGTCCAGTTTGGCTGAGTGTGGCATCCCTCGTGGGAAGCGGACCAAGCACCTAAAGCGGTCGAGCGACATGGACACTCCATGCATATGGGTATTCATGATCTCTTCACAGGCTCAAAACTGGGTGGTGCACGATCACTTCATGAACTCTTTCCCATGACAAATCACCATAAATCCACCATACATACTATTAATCCTCCCACAAATCTCACTTGATGTCATCAAACTACCATCACAAATTCACCCTAAATCCACCTGCTCGTCTGGGCGAACATCAGCCCACCTGCTCCCCACAAGTCGACCGTCCCCACCGGGCCCTCTCTCTCCCCCTCGCTATAGCGAGTGCCCGGGCATCGGTAAGGTGTCGGCCAGCTCCTCCTGGACCGGAGTGAGGCCTCGGGCGGTGGGCCGAACGGTGGAGTGGGGCATGTGTGCCGAGGGCGGACGAAGTGACCAGTCTAAAAAGGACCTTTAACCTGGGGTACCTATATAGGATAGTCGAACTACTGTAGGGTTCTGAACACCTCTGCTGGTGTGTGGGGATGGGGGTTTGAATGGATGAGATGAGAGATGAGATGAGTATTTAGCCAGGAATGGATTGTTGTCATGTTGACATTTGGGGGACCATGATTTGCCGCCTTGGCCAACGTCAGTGGGTATTCCACAGAGCAACATCATCCAAGTCCAAGTGCTTTACTGTAATTCTCAATATTTTCTTGAGGCGTGCTTATATAGCTTGGGAGCCAACTTCACAGCTGGTTCCTTTGTGTTTTTTTGACTCTCGCATGTGCGAGCAGCGGTTGAGCCCTGAGCAGATCCATAGAATATATGTTTCAAACCGATGAAATGATCAGAATCTGTTCGCATGAATCTAGAGAATCGTTGCATCCTTTGCAACAAGGAACAGCAAGGAACTTGTATAGAGCCACTTCTACCTCTGCAGACTCAATAGAGCTTGGCACAAAACCTATCTGGAACCTCAAACTCCACCTCCCGATGTCATGTCTCCATTAGCTGACTCAGAAACACAGGAGCAAACAACTTGAAGCATCCACTCAGGAAAGTACGGCAGCAAACCATTCAAGTTCGGATGACCATCAACCATCATCACCCCAACCATCATCCTTAAATCGCACAAGAAACGCTGCAGCATCTGAAAAAAAAGAAAACACCTACAGTACCTCGCATAACCTTGTTCTCTCTGTCTCTTTTTCATGCTGACTAGGCTGACTAGGACTATAGGTGTGACCTTCACCCCAACCCTTCGAGGTCCGAGCTGGAAATGTTGTACCAAGCCTTGGAGCCCATGTAGGGCCCAAACCTCGGTCAACACGAGAAAGGCCGGCACGGCAAATGCCGTCCGCCGCGGTGCCGAGATCCGGGGAGAAGTCAAGCTGCTTCAACTGGGCTTTCGTTCCCGACACCGGACTGACCGAAGTGGCTCCACTTGTTCATCCAAGAAGCTGGCTCCACTTGTCATCCGACGCGCTGTCTAAAGCGAAGCACACCTCGCCCCAGCGGCGGGTCTAGCACCGGTTTCGGACGGAGCTTTCTTTGGTCCGTTCAGGTGAAGAATCAGGGATGATGAGCCTGATTGCATGTGATGTGCCTGATTTCATGGTGCTTGGAGATGATGAGCCTGATTTCTTTTGGGTGCTTGATATCCGACCTTCAAAACGCTATCGTTGCCATCTCCCTGCTACCATCCGGTCCAAGCTGTTGAGGAGAGTCACTCGACAGCTTGCCACAGCCCAAAAATGCTCGCAAATGCCCTCTGCCCACAGCCCTCATCTGGTTTTCTGAACGGTTCTGTATGCAGAGTGACTTCTGGTCATCTATCTTGAACAAACGTCATCGAAAAATGCCTGTGGATTGAAACTCACATCTCATCACTCTCGATCCTATAGTGGATTGAGAGTACATGACACAGTTGGCCAAAACGCCCGACTGTCGGTGGTCTATATGACCCCCATGTCTTCAGGATCTACAACTTCAGGTCGCTCCCCATCCCACCAAGGCACCAAGGTCAGCAGCAACACCTGGGGCGGTCGGCTTTCACATGCGCCTTTTCTCTGTCGGCCATGCGCACGGACTCAACAAGGTACTTATAACATAAACACAGCTGGAATCTGTGGGACCAAGGGACCAATACTCTCCCTGGAACTAACATGGAAGTGAAACATCACCTCTTTGTAGTGGAAAATGCTCTTCCAAGGGCCCATTCTCCACTTCCATGTTAGTTCCAGGGGATGTATATCTTCCACTTTTCGCCTCCCCCCCTTCAGTCGCCGCCCAGTCGCTTGCACCGAGCCCAAGACGATCATGCTCGCCTCGCGGATGCACGACATGATCGTCGATCGAGGATCTCGGTCTGGCTTGGTCCGGCGGTGTTTTCCCACAGGGCGAAGGTTCTATTTCTAGGGGCTCCAACTATATCCTAATAATGCTGATAATACCTCCTGTGAAGGTGGTTGGGGTGGGGGTCTAACCACCGAACCTGAGGATATGGGCCAGGAGCCCTAGGGTATATGCCTGGAAATACCTGGGGTTTTACTTCCAGTCCCAAGCAGAAACCAACATGTTTATCTTTTTTATATCAATTTCAAGCACTTGTGATGGAAAGGACGAAACATTTTGCAATATTTGGGTTCCAACATGTTATGTAATGTACCATTTGTTTCTGGTTGGGGCCAGGTTTCCATCCCATTTGGGCTTCGTCCCAACCTCCGTTTGAAGGTGAAGGTGGCTGGGGTGCCACAGGCGGGGTCTATCCCTCTTTTGGGATGTGGGCCAGGAGCTCTTTAGTATATTTTTTTTGTGGAGATACATGGCAGAGTTTTGCGTGACTGATACGATTGTATTGTGTTTGATGTGATGTAATACATCCAAAATTTTGAGTTTAGTTTCAGCAATGGAGCTCATATCAATTCCACCCCCAAAAGAGATGCTAACCCCAAAACCAATTGAAGGAACACACATACAATATAGACACATAAACCATCAACCTCACTCACCAGCTAGCAGCGCCATGCGCACACCAAAACACCACCCTCATCCCTCCACCCCCAAAGCCTAACCGTTCCCCTCGACGACCTCCACGTCCGCCCCACCGGCCCCGGTGGCCCGTCTGGGCGCTCCGTGCCAAGCGGACGCGTTCACCGGAGTTGATCTCCCGTTGGTAGCCAAACCTGGGCTCCGGCAGCTTGCTCCGGCGCAGGTGTGGCCGGGGAGGTAGGCCAGGGCATCTGTCTCTAGGCGGGGTCATAGGTGACTCTGGAGCTGAAGCTTCATCCAGGTGCATCTGCAACATAACGCCATATAGGGTCCATCCCGGTGGCTTCGCCACTTCGCCTGTGCAATCGACCGCCCGCAGCGGCCGCCCGCCCATGACCTGCAGGTGAGGAGCTGTCTCATGACCTGAACATCGGATCGAAATGATGGTCCACTGCTGGAGGCAACTGACAAGATCAGCATGTTTGGGTGGTCAAACACAAGAATCCGTCAATCGTCGTTCACTTCTACTGACAAGATGTGGTTGTCAGGAAATGATCATCACGTATACAAAAGTTGGAAGTCTAGAGTCTAAAGTCTAAAGCCTCTGTGAATGTACAGCAGCTGCATCTCCTGACATGAGATCAACTAAAGGATTGATTCATGGGTGACATTAGACATTTGGTCTTTCGACCTTTCTTGGACATCAAGTGGCTCAGGATGGCAGTAGCAGCCCTTGTGAAAGCTTCTGAACCTCCATAGATCTCCAATGATCTCCATAGCTTGTCAGAAGAAGACACACTACAGCAAATCTGTTTAGAAGCGCTAGAGACACCCTCGAACCCTCGAGTAAGCAACAGGGTTTCTGGAGGGCATGCTTCCTACCGACCCAAAGATTGAGGACCATTTTTCTGCCTCATAGTCTGACTCAAAGCTTCTGCAACGTTCTTGACACAAATCACCTGAAACACACATCCTGAAACCATTTGGCTTTCAGCACTTGGTCATCTGAATATGTTCATACATATAATGATCCAACCACCAGAGCTCGCTTTCTTGCTTCTTAAGGACCACCTTTCCTACCCAGGACCACCTCACGGCTCCATTTCTTCGCGGCTCCACCCTTCCACCAATGCTCCTCCCCCCGCACCAGTCCCAGTCCCTCCGCCCGAAGTGTCTCGGTCGGCCAAAAGGAAGGTGAGCCTTCCATGTTTCCAAGACACACAGAGAAGTAACACCACGGCCCCATCTCTCATGGCATTCCGCGTGGTCCTTGGAGACCGTGAGACGAGGCCCACGTGTGATGGTCACACGTGGTAGGAACACATTCGAGTAACAGGAAGCTACGAACGTAACAGGCTGCATCGCTACTAGTAACAAGGGCATTACGACTAGTAACCAGAAGCTACTAGCAACAAGTGCATCTCTACTGGTAGCTTCTTTTTACTAGTATTAATGCCCTTGTTACTAGTAGCGATGCAGCCCGCCACTATAGTAGCATGAGAACGTGTGCACACAAAATTGGACAACAAGATCTAGGATGATCCAAGATTCGTCGGCAATAGCTCTTCATTTGGATGTTTTAGAGGAAGAGCTCACCCCTTTTCGCCTAAGAACCTCCCTCTTTCGCCTTCACCTCTTCGCCATTCCGTGGTCGATGGCGACACTCCACGGCTCCGTTTCTCCAAGACGCGTTATGATGAGCACGTTCAAGAGGATAAACTCAATGAATGACTCCTGAGCTCGTCCAACGTGTTGCGGTGAGGATCGGATCGGATCGTCCCATCATCGCGTGAGCAAACGGTGCGGAGGATGGGAAGTGAAAAAGAACAAAATCACCGGAGCCATGGCACAGGTGACGACTTGAGGAAGCCATAGGAAGCCATAGGAAGCCTTGAGTCGTTCCTACGTGAAGAATCAAGGAAGCCATACTTCTACTGATCGGTTGCGGTGGATCTTGTAACCCTCAGCCGTTGGCGATAGCGAGTAGAGATCGAGGGAGCCCTGTCTAGGACATGCTTACAGTGTAAGCTTTTCAGCAGAATATGTGGCAAATCAGGGAATCCTGCTGAACAGGCAGTAATTGGCATAATGCATGGTACATAAACACCACGAAATCACGAAACACATACGATGGACCCTGAACTTCAGTTGACGCAGCTTCTCCAGTTGTGATGGTCGGCAAAAACTGCGAAGGTCCCACCACCTCTCAGGGGCAACCTCTCTTGGTGGATCCTCCTTTTTGAAAGCAAAGCCATCAGATCACGTCAGGACTTTCTGCGAAAGTGTCTGAGTGTCTGTGTCCGTCACTTGCTTACATTGCTCGAGCATCTCTGAGTGGCGGACGAAACGTCTTTGCTTCCAAAAACACGCCAAGTTCATACTTTTGCCGTTGGCCCCCCCATGTTTGCATGTATATATGTTAGGGTGTGTTTTTTGGACTCATTCTTAATGTAGTCCTCAGATTTATAAACCACCCTAGAATTATGTCTTTTTTTCCCTGCACTGATTTATAAAGGCCCCAAGAATAATGTTTGTTTTTTTTGGAGGGGTAGTTGTAGTGGATCTTTTTTTTGGTTATAGTTTACTTTTTCCCTTTTGAATTTGCTGGGATTTGCTTATCTTACAGGGTTTTGGATTGAGATTTCTATTAAACATTTGGAGATTTCCATTGAGATTTGATGCTTTTGGAGGCTTTTGGATGGACATTTCTATTAAAATTTTTGAGATTTCCATTGAGATTTGATGCTTTTGGAGGCTTTTGGATGGAGATTTCTATTGAAATTTTGGAGATTTCCATTGAGATTTGATGCTTTTGGAGGCTTTTGGATGGAGATTTCTATTAAACAATTTGATATGTCCATTGAGATTTGATGCTTTTGGAGGCTTTTGGATGGAGATTTCTATTGAAAATTTGGAGATGTCCTTTTCTTTGCCTTTTGATTTGCTTTACTCACCCTCTATTCCTTATTTACTTTTCCTAAGCTCTTTAGTTGTGAAGCTTTCCAAAAGTTTCCAAAAGTCAGTGCGCACTTTCTTTATAAAATCCCTTATTCAAAAGTATTGAAAAACAAAAAAAATCAATCAAGCAAAGGGGGTAGTCCAGCAAGCAGCTTTCTGACATTATTTAGGGGGAGCCCCTAGAATAATGTCTAGAGATTTGAGGCTTCAAATCTGTGTTTCCTTTTCTTTGCCTTTTGATTTGCATTCAAGCAAAGGGGGTAGTCCAGCAAGCAGCTTTCTGACATTATTTAGGGGGGCCCCTAGAATAATGTCTAGAGATTTGAGGCTTTAAATCTGTGTTTCCTTTTCTTTGCCTTTTGATTTGCTTTACTCACCCTCTATTCCTTGTTTACGTTTCCCAAGCTCTTTAGTTGTGAAGCTTTCCAAAAGTTTCCAAAAGTCAGTGCGCACTTTCTTTATAAAATCCCCTTTCTTTATAGTGCTCCATTAAACATTTGAAGATTTCCATTGAGATTTGATGCTTTTGGATGCCTTTTGATGGAGATGTCCATTAAACATTTGAAGATTTCCATTGAGATTTGATGCTTTTGGAGGCTTTTGGATGGAGATTTCTATTAAAACTTTTGAGATTTCCATTGAGATTTGATGCTTTTGGAGGCTTTGGGATGGAGATTTCTATTAAAACATTTGAGATTTCCATTGAGATTTGATGCTTTTGGATGCTTTTGGATAGAGATTTCTATTCAAAATTTGGAGATTTCCATTGAGATTTAATGCTTTTGGAGGCTTTTGGATGGAGATTTCTATTAAAACTTTTGAGATTTCCATTGAGATTGAATGATTTTGCAGGTCTTTGGATTGAGATTTCCATTGAAATTTAAACAGTTAGTTCTACTTCCATTGATTCATTCCCTTTTATCGTAATTAATATTCCAGATGTCTTCAAAGTTAGGAATTCTTATTTCCTTTTAATTTAATATTGCCAGAGTAGCTCTAGAGGTAGCTAGCTAAGGATTCCTTATTTAATTATCAATTGATTGATTTTCTTATACATTATCTTGGAGGCCTTGGTTGTTGGGGGGGGGGGGAGGGGGGGGGTTTATAAATCAAGGGACTACATTATCCTTTTTTTCATGAGCTTCGTTGCCTATAGACACTTCGATGCTGTTCGATCTTCTCTCAACATCTGACGATCACGGCGTGCGGTCCCAGGCGCCAGGAAGGCCCAGAACCAGCCGCCGGCGCCCTCCACGCGCATCCATAAGAGCCGCAAGCAAAGGAACAGCATCAGACCCATGCCTCGGGTCGGGTGTATAGGGCCTATACTGTCGGGATGCGAGATGGAAGAACGACGTAAGCAAACCCAAAAGAACTTAGCAGCTGAAACATGAAGTTTGGGTTGATATATGAGTATATATAACTAGTTGACTATTTGGATTCGTCCATTATGCAACATGCAAGTATAGAACTGTTGGACTGTTTGCGTTGCTCGAGTTGCTACATGTTGCTACTGCCGCGCCGCGAGTCCAAGTTTGCTGCTCCCAAGTCACAGGAGTAAGTGAGCATCATCAGCTTGAAGCCTCCGAAGACCTTGACGAATGGTGGCGTGCCACGCGTGCGGCTTCCGTGTGTCTAGACGTGCTTCGTGTGGTGCTGTGGAGGAAGAAGGGGAAGCAAAAATCTTTCGGAATGCTTTGGGTCAGTCCTATGACCAGTATCTGTGGATGGTAGTAGTTAGGCTTCAAGTCACTTGAATCACTTGAAAACATATGAAAGGTATATTAGTCAGTGGGGTTCAATCATGCCAAGTAAAGGTTGAACATAACATATCGCAAAATATCCGAAACCACCACCTAGCAGTGATTTGCTTGTTTCCTGACTGTTACAGTATACACTCCATGTATGCCATATATGCATGCCGATCAGTTGGGGTGGTTTTGGGGGCTCAATGGGCGGCATATATGGCAGTCCCATGGAGTGTCTGGGTAATATAGGACCAACCCCATAGGAATGTGCATTGTTGCATCTTGGAGGTGCTCTTCCAGCCCTAAGCCCACGGAAGCCCTCGGCTCTCCAGAAAGGACACCCCAAAAAGCTTCAGAGACATGGCCACTGGGATGACGACCATTGTCTTCTAGATTTCTAGGTGGTGGTCCACTTCCATGGAACGTGAGTCAGATGGTAAAGTCTGTTTTAACTGCCGACCTTGCGAGTTGGACCTTGACTGGGACCAGTTGTCATCTTCTCGGAGTTGTGTTTTCATCATGTTCCCTTGGAAAACCTGGCCGTGCATCCTTGCGCCAAGGGAACACTGGTGTTACACCGTTGGCCAAACATCGGGAAAATAGGATCGTCTCAACATGAGTGGCCTCCCTCCAACGCCGAAGTGGGAACATGCCTCATCCGAAGACCCTAGGACCATCCGAAGACCACACAGGGGGCCACAGGGCTCCCTACATCCACTTCCGTAGTTGGAGGGAGTATCCAGAGGGTCGCCGGCAAGGGCCTCCGTGTCCCATTACCAGTCACCCTGGATACCGCAGAACTGCTGTGGTTTTGGACACTTTTGTGACAGATTGGCCATGAGACGGTGTGCAGAGGCCGGACGGATCCTTTGCGACCCACGAAGAGGGAAGCCTTGGAAGCCACGAATTCCATCCCACCACTCTTCCCCCCGGAGGTGACGTCCACCCGTGCCCACCGAACCAATCGGAGGCACCAAGGCGGTGAAGCCCAATGACACTGCGAAGGGATACCTGGCCGGGTTTTTGGGCTTCGTGAATTCACACGGGCGGTTTTCGCTCGCGTTCATGACTTGGTTAGTGACTGGCCGTGGTTCGTGACTGGGTGGGTCGTTTCCTTGTTTTGTGAGACCGGAGTGGAGACGATGCGGAGACGGAGTGCAGCGGTGCGGACGGAGAGACATGGGACACATCCAGTCGTGGTCTCGTCTGCTTGAAGCTGTGATGAGAAAACCAGTATTCAGGAAAAATGTAAACAATTCCCAGACACTCCATGTGTGCCATATTTTGCCGATCAGGCCAGGGGTGGCGCTTGGAGGGTCAATGGGGCGGCAGTCCTATGGCAGTCCCATGGAGTGCTGATTGGTCAACACGGCGCACCGATTGGTCTATTGCCATCTTCTTAGGAGGGGAAGCCACCGTCAATCCGGCGGGTTTTCGCTGGTGGGATCGGACCTGGGTGGGGGTCCGGTGATCGGCACGACTATGCTGTGGACAGCGCCACCTGCCGAGTTCTTGCAACTCAAAACTGTGACGCGAAACGAAGGCTCGAAAGATTCGTGACATCTTGTGACACCGTGTAATATTAAGACTTGACAACGTGTCTGTGGATGGGGAAAACGGACGAAAGGTCAAGCTTGTACCAACTCGGCGTCTAGTCTGCGCAGGTCCCTGAACGCCTGCGCAGGACAAACTACAACAAAGAACGGAATAGATTCAACGAACATCATCAGATATCAGATTCTGTGCACCATTCAAACGCGGCTTTCAGAGGTTACACTTGCACGAGTGTTGTATATATGTGTGATCCCCTTAAGAATAGACCGTGCAGGCAGGGGGAAAGTTAATTCCCAGCTCAGCGAAGATATCAACCCTAGACCATCCCAGAACTATGTAATGTATCAGTATCATGCTTTCCGAAATAGCAGATCTGTGGCTACTAGACTCAAACGCTCCACTGGTATCCTGTCAACACTCCTGCCAATCTATATAATTCTCCACAGCCAGGAGAGCAAAATTCATGTCTGTGTCAAAGATTGCGGACTTCCGACACCTGGTAGAACAGGACACGCGACAACTCCTTTTCTTGAAGTATTTCCCAGACTCTGGCGAGTCCCCAGGAAATAAACATGCATATTGGCCCAACCATAAAGTCTGATTCTAAGATAGACATGTTGATCTTCCAACAACACCAGAACACCTTAGAACACTATAACGTGTCTAAACCGGATATTTCGGATTCTTCCCTCCTCCTCCCAGTCGTCTCCGCACTCCTCTGCCGCTTCTGCACGCTGAATCCAAGTCGGCACCAACGCTCACCTCGGTGGCCGGTCTCGGTGGTCGACCACCCAAAACCCCACAAGACTGGTGGGGTAGGCTTCCATCCCGACTGGATGCTCCTGGGCTGAAAATTCCCCTCTTTGAATGCTTGGGGAGCAATGAGGAGCAAGGAGTTCTGCTCGAGTTCTTTTGCTTGGATGTACAATCTTCGGACGGTCTGTCGGCCATGGTCTAGACAAGAACAGGTGTCTCTTTGGCCGCCACAAAAAAAACACGATATGCTTCTTGGATGTTGTTTGTTCCGATTGGTGTCAGGAAAGGCAGGGAGAAGCGGCCTGACCTCGTCACACGCCAACCAGGACGTTGTCCAGACAGATGCCATGTCAATCGACGCCGGAGCGGGGAACATGAACGTGACGCTTTGTCCGCAAAACTTTTCTGCTTGCCACCCTTGTGCATGTGTAGCAGGCGAGGACCAATCACAAGGTTTGACTGACATGATTTGCTTACTGCGCAGGCCGATGGCATATCTTGAAGAACCTTGGAGGAGGCAGCTTCAGGATGACTCCGGCCAAAATTGTATTCATAAACATCCCGCCGGGTGTGGAATCGCACGTGTAGTCGTGCAAATTTTGATTCAAAAGTGCAAACCCTCTCAGTACTTTTGCTTGTTCGATGATGTTTTTGGGGGCCCGGATCCTTTCATTTTTAAAGCCGAATCTGCCGAAACCCAAGCGCCAACGCAAAATCCGTCGCCGTGTTTGTCCCGGGCTGTCCTCAACTTTCATGCGTCCTGTCTGAAGTAGACTTGCGCAGTTTTTTTGCACAAGTTAGTACACGTGCTGTTTTCCCAACGCCACTGCCATCCGCGAATCACACGACTAATCGATGACAATGTTATGAAACCGATGACAATGCTCTGAAACCGAAGATTACTTGTCGTGAAATCGATGACAATGTTCTCAGCATGACATCCACATCCTCATTCCATCACAACCCCCCCCACCCCATTTTAATCACACGACTAATCGATGACAATGTTATGAAACCGATGACAATGCTATGAAGCCGAAGATAATGTGGTGAAACCGATGACTTGAGGCCAAGGGGGGGGCGAAAGCTAGCGCTCCAGAATGGGAAAGTGGAGGGCAGCGAGGTAGGAAAAAACACGGCGCTCTTTTTGGAGGCAGGGGTGAAGAGTCCTTTATATGTGGCTCTTTGCCCGGATCCTCCTGCGAGAGAAGAGAGAGAAGAGAGACGGAAAGACGAGAGACAGAGAGGAGAGAGAGAGAGAGAGGAGAGAGAGATGAGAGAGATGAGAAAGAGATGAGAGAGATGAGAGAGATGAGAGAGAGAGAGAGAGAGACAGTGAGACAGTGAGACAGTGAGACAGTGAGAGTGAGCGAGTGCGGCCGCAAGATACGCAACGCTAACCGCATGCCAAAGAGCGACGACAGGACGGAGTCGAACTTGCGAAGAGGGAGGAGGGAGGGAGGGAGGGAGGGAAGGAGGAAGACAAGGAGGAGGAGAGGGGAGGTGGGGTGGGGAGAAAGGAGAGGGGAGAGGGGAGAGGGGCGGGGGGGGGGGGGGGGGGGGGGGGGGGGGGGGCGGGGGGGGGGGTGAAAGAGTGACTAGGGCGTACACGGTAGAGGTGCAGACCGCTAGTGTCTTTTGCTCACGCAGAGTCTTATCCTTGAGGTCCATTGACCTTCTCTTGAGCCTTATGGCAGTCAAGCATGGACACACTAGATAGGCCACTGGAGTGGAACCTGTACAAGTAAGCCTCTACATTTCAGCAGGCACAAAATTCATGTCCACTCCTGCCTATTGCGTATGTCGCACACTATTTTTCTACCGTAAGGCTAAAACAGTCCAGCTAGCTCTGACAACTTAAAAGAAAACTACGGTGCCATGTACTTACCTAATCCAATGTGTTTCACACTTCAGAGAAGGTAATCTCATAGCTACTAAATACAGTGAGGGAGCAATAGCTGACTCACCTCAAGTACAAAATCAAATCGATAATGTACCTCGGCTAGAGACTGTACTTTTCGCAGGCGGAGATACCATGTACCGGCGCTCACTAGCTCTTTAGGGCCTGAGCTAAATCAAACTAAAGGGAAAGCGGCTTTTTCTCTACCGAGACCTATAAAAGAATCAAACGACACTCGCGTAACAAAGAACTAAAAATTCAAGACCGCACAATGCAATGAATTAAGATGCCTTGCAAAATGCAAGGAGCGTCAACTCTCGGTCCGAGGAATGGTCTTCTCGAAAAGTGGTCTCGGCCGCTTTCATTCACAGACAAAATAAACTGCATCAAAAGGACTCTTTTTCACATTCACATCAAAAACACAAGAAGGAGATACCGGCAAATGTATGTACAAAAATCTTGCACTACAATTGCAAATCATGAAATGACTTAATCATCAACCATGACTGGTTGTCCATTAGAGGTCACTTCATAAAGAGCGGCTGTGGTAGTTATCATCAGTTCTGAAAAACTGTCTATATCTACCTGCTAAAGCTCGTAAACCTGGAATGCAGGAGTATCTTCTTTGACAAAAGGTTTCTCCTGGTTGCAAACCAGAGTTCATTAAAACTTTAGCCTGGCAACTTAAAATCAAGCCTGGAAGCAAAGTATCAACTGTAACCAGAAGTATCTTCACTTCCTAGCCATCATTTAAATTTCAGCCTTCGCTCAGGAATTATGCCGCTGCAGACGATGAAGCTGCTTGATCAGAAGTTGGCGGCCTTCCTTTCCTTTTATTCTGCTTTTGTCTCTCCTTCCTCCGCAAGTTCGCCTCATGAAGAGTTGGTCCCATGCGATACTGTTTTCTGTCTCCAGATGAAAAGGAAGCTGGTCTGAGTGAAATAAACATTGGACCATGACTGTCCTCGTCAGTGGGCCTTGAGCACATAACCTCTGTGTCAATCATAGCAAAGTTCTCTGAAAAATTACAGATGAACTCCTTCGTGCTCACTGTGGAATTTTCATATTCCTCTTCACTCATTGAATGACCCCATTCAACAATGGTAGACAAACATGTATCGCCAAGCTGTGATCCTTGGTATTCTTCTTTTTCAACAGTAGAATATTCTTCCCAGAGTTTATCAAAGTAAACTTCACACTTCTTGAGGACCTGTGAAGTTGAACTGTAAAATGTTCTGGGAATAGGTGCTTTGATACCAAGATCTGCTTTTACACGAGCTTCTGAAAACCTGCGGATCCAATGCTGCATGGTGCTGTAATAGTAGTTAGCCATTGGCTGCCTTTTGTACCCAGACATTCTGTAGGCCAAACTATTTGCATCACCAGAAATGATGTCCACCTCATAGACAAAACACTCGTAAAGCATCAATGCTGTCTGTTCTCCTGTCAGTAGGTGAGCATCCACAGCACGGTGTGTATCAACATGATAATTACAGACTCTGATGGTATGCATGTTTGCTCGAGTAAGTGGAACACGCTTGTCCTCAGGACCATAGTCATCAAATTCAAAGTCTGCATCCTTGAAATCTTGACGAGGCCTTGTTTCTCCAAAACAAATCTCGTAGATAGCCCAAGTTACATCACGCTGTTCACAGTGACCAAGATCTTGGTCATGTCCAGCAATGATCTTGACATATCCACCTGGTGCCAATCTAGCCATCACTGCAAGATTCTCCCAATCATTGAAACAAACTGTCCAATTCTTTTGCTCAATAAATTCCTTGGCAGGAACAAGAAGATGAGCTTCCTGGAGAATCACGACATGTGCACGTAAAAAGAAGAGCATATTGAAGAAAAGGTTGTTCTCAAATTGCTCATTCTGAAGTGACATGGCGCTCTGTTTGCGTGGCCTCATTGCACTATCAAGTCCTTGGAGAAACCTTGGTGTGGTGTACTTCTGACCACGAACCATGTTGCCATAGTTCCAGGATAAAAATGTCAAGGACTCTGAGCTGGCCAATAAGTTAGTTCCATATGGTTCTTCTATTCTTCCCTTGAGGAACCTTCTGCACAGCTCTTCATAGAAGGTGACAAAGTCCCAACTGGGTCCCTTGGGACCATATGATTCCAGTTCCTTCTTGAGTTCCTTTTTCGTATCCTCCAATTCTTCTCGAGCATGACCTGCCCTTTCAAGGGCCTTTGGATCGACCTGATACCTGCCATCCAAATAAATGATGCGGTCATCATTGATGAAGAATCTCTTCAAATCATGCTCTGGTTCATGTTCATAACAATCAGGTGGAGGTACTGGACAGACATTTCGAATGGATCGAACAAAATCATTCTCGTTGATCCTTGACTGATAATGAGGATGGGAAATCTCACCTTTTCTGAAACAAACATGATTCAGCAATCTTGCATGAGTTTCCCTGAAGCGTAGTTGATAAAAGCCAATACCTGGATCTCCTGTAAGCTCTCCAAGCAACTTCAAAGGTGAAGTATGCAATTCATAGGTATTGTCAACTTTTGTTGTATCCTTTTCAACAACTACTTCAGATGGAAAAGATTCTTGGATTTCAGCCTCCAATTTCTTCTCTCCATCATCCTCTCTGACCTCTTTTATTTTCTCCACCGCCTCTTTCTTCTCTTCCATGGTTGCATCATCCTGAACTTCTTCATGAAAATGAGGATCAGGAATCTTATTCAGGCGGCTTCTCTTCGATTTCCGCTGACCTGAAGTATCATCAAGGTTAGCATCCATCTCACCTGATGGTAAGTGCGATGCAGTTGAGTCTTCACCTATCTCTCTTGACAGAAAGTGTGGTGTTGACTCTTCCTTGGCTTCCTCCTGGTCAACTTCCATCTTTGGTTCCTCTGAAGGAAAAACACCTGCATCTTCATCAAATATTTCTTCTTCCTTTCCAGGTTCAACTGCAGGATCTTCTTCAGGAACTTCCTCTTCCATATTCTCATCTTCTAGAAGTGTTCTACTTCCAGTATAGACTTCACCAGCGATAGTGGAGACTCTTGTATAAGGAGGAACTTCTTCACCTGCTTCAAAAGCTTGTTCTGCAACATCCTTGGTGAGCAAGTCCTCTACAAGATT